CGGCGTCCAATCCTGAGAGCAGTAAAGTGAAGAAATTATTGTTTGTAACACTCAAAGGAGAAAAGGTGAATCTGTCACGCCAAGAAATCGAGGAATCGCCTTTGAACGGGCTATCATTTTTGACAAAATCTAGGGTATAGTGGCGGCAAAAACCAAGGCTGCAATCCAATATCATGCGAACGCTGGCTGGTGCTGCTTGGCATGGAAACAGAAGTCACACTTCGTCACATACGAAATGGCCTCTGCTCTGTTCCTTGACAGGATACTGTGCATCCGCATGACCAACGAGAGCACTTACGCACAAAGTGTGCATTCGGCGGATTTCGTGATGTGTCAAAGCATGGAGTTGGTAAATTCCGCCACAAAATTGTGGCTCCCTGTTTTTTCAACCGTCGACCTTCGGAATCTAGGAGAAATTGAAAAATTGCAAACTATCTCAAACACTGCGTTACAGCTATTTGAAGGAGTTGGCGAACGCTCGCGGCTGAAATCAAGAAAACTGTCCTTGGTACGGAAGAAAGAGCGTCCTTGAAACCATGGAATGCCCTCTGCCGATGAAAATTCAAAGCCTTATGATTCCAAATCCTCGCGTTGACTTGCCGCGCAATGTACTACGCTTAATTCACCGATAGTAACAGGATACCGAATATGTGCGTGTCATCTCCAGAGATGGCTATTTCAACACTCATCTGAATGAAAGTACTGAATCGATATTCAACTTTTGCGCAATTTTTGTCACTAAACATTCTCTGAGCAAATTAGACGGTCAAGTTTCAGAAGTACACCAGGTGTACGAAGTTCCTCCAAAGTGGCTTTGTCATTTAGGCACTGAGATATGAATCGGTCTTAAACGTCATCCAAATCAAGATATTCAATACTTCTTGCATTCTGGTTAACTTCATGAAAGTCGAGTTCTTCAACTTTCCAAAGCAATCCATTCATCATGCGTAAGCATAGATTCTCACTTTACCAAGGATATGCATTGTTACTTGAATCGATTTCAACGGCAATGTTTACTCTTGGATACAGCATTTATTGAGCTGCTGACATAAAATACTGCACTCCTATTTTATGTATATACACAAAATAATTATAATTAGCCGAAATGCATAAGTGACTTTGGTCACAACCAAAAATACTGGCTACGATAAGAATTCTCCTGTTCTTCC